ACGTGTCTTCCGTCTATTACAACATGATCGATCTGGTTGGTGGTTTTTCGATCCGGAGACAGCCAGGTAGCTTGATGAATCTTCTTATGCTGGAATCTAGTACTACAGATAAATACAGACATACAGATACGGACAAATTTAGACAATATAAATTTGCACCCAAGTGTTTAAGTCTTGACTTCCCACATGCGGGACAGTCAAGAAGGACGCTCTGCTATCTGATTGGATGTTCAATTCGCTCAAGGAGGCTGCAATAGTCAGAAAGTTGGGGACGATAAAGAGTTCCTGACAGTAAGGGCTCCATAGAACATAATGGGCTTGACTATGGTGCCGTAGAGCCAGAGAACTCCTCTCCAGCAGTACATGGCAATTGATGCCTTTTTGAGTCTTTAGAATGAGACCTAGATATTTCACTATATCCGCTGGCTGCGTTATCACCTTGTTGTGGTATTATCTAATAATTTGATTTTCATACGTTTTAGAACTTCCAATTTAGTTTTGGAGAATATTTTTAATATTAAAAAAGTGTGTAAAGACGACTTTTTGATCTTTTATATAGCCTGCCATGGCTGCAAGAAATCTCCATTCGAAACGGCAATGATTTTTACCTAAAAAATAAAGGCTTATGACTTTAATAAATTCACTAAATGTCAACCAGACCGTACGTCGCGTCGATATCTAGCATATATTAGAAGCTAAACCCTCTTTGAGCAGTAACTGAAAATCAAAAGACGAAGAAGGTCCTCTAGGAAATTAAGTTGATTTGCAGAGCTTCTGCCAGGAGCTTTCCCGAAATAATAATTATAAAACTTTGTATTTCTTTCGTCTTCTCTACTCATTTTTCTTTAGGCTTAGCATATAACTTTTAGCAAAAATGTCAGCATGAACCAGAGTCTTCAAAGTCATGATACTTGCTTCACTATGTGCTCAGCCTTACATTCATTAAATGTTAGATCGTTCTAAAACAAAACAAAAACAAAAAAAAAAAAAACAAAACTTTCAATGAAGTGTGGCACCAATAAAAGGCAAACAAAATTTAAAATAAATATCACAAAGACTTGGGAATGTTATATATCTTGAAGACGCTACGTTCAATCGCACTTATTAATCGTAAATCGTACAAAGGCATTGAATAATTGACGTTTACGGTTGTAATTAAAATACCTAATCAGTGAAAGCAATAAAACTATATTACTTGCCGCTGTTCACGCAAATCAGCAAAAGCCAACTTATCTATAAAAATCCACCCAACCATAAAAATAACACCCTTCGTATTTAGGCGGTCAGATTAAGCTTAATAACATATTTAATAAGACACCGTAAACTGGCTATTAAATCAGTTTGTGTTTCGACTTAGTTCGATGAAAGTGCAGAGCATATTTTTAAACAAAATGTGGACTGGATATATAGTAGTTTTAGCAGCACTGTTAGGTGTGGTGTCCTGCTACCCCGAAGGACGTGTTGTCAATGGAACTGATTCGGACATCACGAAATTCCCATTTTTGGTGCGTTGAGCTCAAAGTAAAAAATAATGAAAATGAAGAACTTAAATATAACTTACTTGTAAAGGTATCACTGCGCGGTTCGACCGGTTCCCACTCATGCGGTGCCAGCATAATAGCGCCACGTTGGATCCTCACTGCCGCGCATTGTGTTGTTAGTGCAACGGCCAGTAGGATCAGCATTCAGTACGCCTCGACGGTAATCGCCGCCACCAGCAGCAATGTGGCGAAGGTGAAACGCATCATTGTACACGAGGATTATAGCCCGGAAGACGCGTATGCCAATGATATTGCCTTATTGAAGTTGTTCGGTCAATTGGTGTACAACTATAAAACCATTGCGCCGGTCACTCTGCCGGAACCATACTTTGAAATACCACAAGTGCAGGCCGGCGCACCAGGCGTGCTCGCTGGTTGGGGACGCAATGAGGTATATTTTTTTTCATATTTTTATTATATTTTTTGGTTAAATTTATATTATGTTTTAGACGGGTGGACCGGTTCAAACGGTGGTGCAAGAGGTCGATTTGAAAATCTTCTCGGATGATGAGTGCACCGAACGCCATAATGGACGCACAACCACAGATCATCTTTGTGGTGGCGTCGATGAAGGCGGCAAGGGTCAATGTAATGGTGACTCAGGCGGTCCTTTGCTTTATAACGGTTCTATACAATTGGGTATTGTATCGTGGAGTATCAAACCTTGTGCCGTTTATCCTTATCCCGGTGTGTATACCAAAGTTTCACATTATATTAGTTGGATTAAGAAGAACATGAATTAATCAGTCTATATAAATAAAAACTTCCTTAAATTAGACCTCATTTTACTATATCTGCATGTTATTGTATATATAATATTTATGGTAACTCTCTTTGTTTGAATTGAAAAATGAGCTGCTGAACTACAAATAACTTAAATTAATTTTTCGGGTCTTGAATGTAACTGATTTCACTTCCGAGATAAAAAAAAATTAAAAAAAAAAAATACTAAGCACGTTGCATAAGTTTTCAAATTGTTAAGGAAAATAATCTTCATGGAGTGAATTTTCTATCTGCTAAGCGTGTGTAATGGCGCACAGTTATGTTTCTATGTAAGCAGTTACAGCTGTCGGACTATACCCCATTCCTACTCTTGCGTCTTCTTCGCGTACTCTGGAAATGTAGGTAACCCTTGTGTAAGATGCGGTAGCCAATTCGTGTGGAGCCTGGGGTGACGGCTAAAAGAGAGGAGCCTTCACCGTTGCCAACAGCCTAGAATGAAAGATATATTTCAAGTTATCAGTGTGGCTTTAGATCTGGGAAATCTACTATCGACCAGATTTTCACGATGCGCCAAATCTTGGGAAAGACCCGGAAGGAAAAGGAAGATCGACACACTCCACCTCCTCGTCGATTTTAAAGCTGCTTTGACAGCACGAAACAGTGTTAACTTTATGCCGCGATGTCTGAATTTGGTATCCCCTCAAACAAGGGGACTCCCTATCGTGCGACTTCTTCAACCAATTACTGAAGAAAATAATACATAAAGAAGGTACTATTTCCAAAAATAGTGTACAACTGTTCGTGTACGTCGATGACATCGACATAATTGGCCCGCCGTTAGCTCTGCTTTCTTCAGTATGGATGAGGAAGTGAAGTAAATAGGTATGGTTGTGAACGAGGACAACACGAAAGATTTTCTGTCATCAAAGGAATATTCATCGCATCCGCGACTTGGCTTAAATGTCACGTTGATAGTCGTAACTTTGGAGTCGTAGATAATTTCGTCTATCTTCATCAATACCAACGGCACTTTTGCCAACAGGTGGTACTTCGGATCGAGGTAGTAGGTGAAAAATAAAGTCCTCTCACGACGGATAAAGACAAAACTCCACAAGTTGCTCATCAATCCTCTCCTGCTATATGGTGCGGAGGCATCGACAATGACATCATCTTATGAGCCGCCTTAGGAGTGTTCGACAGAAAGGTTTTGCGGCAGATTTATGGTACTTTGCGCATTGGCAACGGCGAGTACCGCAGTCGATGCCGGATACCGGAGATACAGTGACTTTGACATAGTTCACTGAATCAAGAGACAATGGCTGCGTTGGCTAGGTCATGCTCTCGGGATGAAAGAATACATTCCAGGTTTGAACGTTTTCGATTCTGCACCCGTCGATGGAAGCATTGGAGGAAGAAACCTTCACTTCGTTGGATACTTGAGGTGTAGAACGACATAGCTGCACTAGGTATCTTGAAGTGACGTCAAATAGCCAAAAAAGAAGAAACGACTGACGCACTGTTGTTAACTCGGCTATAATCGCGTAAACGGTGTCTACGCTAGTAAAGAAGAAGAAGGAGGATCGCAACAAAATTGACAAATTTGCTAGCGCCAAATAGTGGATCACTTCCGACAACGCTCTTACCCTGCGCTAATGTTGGTCATTCCAGGATTGAAGATCAGAAGAGGTTTGCTATGAATTGAGTGGGATTGGGAGGGAATCATTTACTATAAGCTGCTGCTCTATGATCCAACTCTTAATTCCAATTATTGCTGTCAACAATTGGACCATCTGTAAGAAGTAATCGCCACGAAATGGTTAGTTTTGGTCAATAGAGAAGAGTTTTTCTTCCTTCAAATATATAACGATAGAGATGGGTTGTATTGTACCCAACTTATTTGTTCTTGTCTCTGGCGAATGGTTTTGCTAATTTAGTTTTTAAAATGCTTACAAAAAAATAAAAATAAAAATAATTTATATATAATTGACCAAAATCGGATTATTTAAATTGTTCTAAACAAAATTGTAAATTGAATGGCAAAATTTTGGATTTATTTTACTATAAATAAATAAATTATAATATTATATATAAATAAATTAACTTAAGCTGGCATTACAGTTGGAACTTCCCAAACATTTAAAAGTTACAATATTAAATGCGCCTAAAGGTATACTACACTTCTTAAAATTTTGACATACATTTTGAAATTACACTACCTAATGCCCGCAAAGTGACATACCTTCCGAAAATCTTAAATAAATGAATTTAAGCTGACATTAAAGTTATAACTTCCTTAAAATTTTGAAATTTCAATACTAAATGTGCCTAAAGGTATGCTACTCTTCTGAAAATATTTTATATCCAAAATTCAACAAGCAACTATATATGTCCTTTACGTATATACAAATACACATGAATAAAACCGTTCATAAACTACTAACACATCGATAAATCCAAGCAAACGAGACCAAACGAAACTGTTATAATACACCACAGTGGCATGCAAACTGTTTGCAAACCACCCATCATGGCATCATGTAGTTGCTGTGCTATCTCCGTCATTGCACGTGCTTTCTTCGTCGTTTTGTGTTTTGATTGGACACCTCGTGGTCCATGCAGCTGCACAACGCAAATCACTAACGTTCACGATCTCGACGCGAGCGGTTGTACGTAGCGGATAAGCGACCTTACGGTGTATAAGTAGCAGTAAAAAAAAAAAAATTAAAACAAAAAATACAACAAAGTGTGCATGAAGAATAGTGAGGTAAAGTGTGTGTGGAGGTGTTTGTTAGTATGGCAAGCAGAAGCAGAAGAACGAGGTGAAAGCGCAAGAAGTGCTGCAATAACAAATGCCGAAGAGTGCGTTAGAGATTCGAATAACCTTACATAAAATATTAATATTAACAATGCAAAATATTTATGCGTATTTGTGAGTGATTTTGGTAAAGAATTCTTTTTCATGGTGATTTGAAAGTGAAATTAGTGTGGAATTTCGAAAAAAAATTAAAACAAAAAATATTTAAAATTTTTTAAAAATTTATTTGTATTAAAAACAACTATTTTTGTGTGATAAACAATATTTGAACACAAATGTGACATTATGAAACGTGAAGGAAAAGCATAACAAACAGATAATGGCAAATAATTAATGCTCTCAAATTCGTATTTCAGTGACACAATTTCATTTCACTTAATTAGTGGCTGACTTTGAGCGCAGCTCAGGCGAATGCCAAGCCGCAAGCAAATATTATTTCGTAATAATTGCCACATGGCATTGCAACACTTGTTTGTTATTGTTTTTATTGCTTTTTTAGCTCAGCTGAACGCAAGTTGTGTTTATTCAGATTTAACATATGTACTGGCGTGTGCGTGTGTGTGTGTGCTAAGCGTGTTACATAAATAATTACATTGACAAATAATTGTATGGCAAAGCTTTACCAGCATGCCACCAACAAAACCAACTACTACTCGGGCGCAATGCTCGGAGACGATATTGTTGGTGCCGTCGCTATTTAATTACTTATAGTGCTGTAAACGCGACGGCATGTTGCATCGACAGCAACTAGGGTGACTGCACTACAACAATAACAGAAATTGCAGCAATAACATCAACATACACTAAATAACTGTGCATGCCTAGCATTTGCATGCCGAATTGTGTGCCGTTAAACTATTTCCACTGACACACATACAGTTGCATGTGTTTGTGTGTCTTCGCGCCACTCAACAATCTGAAATGAACTTCGCGTTTACTCAAGTGTTTGTCTGTTGTTTTTATTGTACACTGGCTGCGGCCTTAAATTCAGAATCAATGCTTCCTTGCCATTTATTGGCTTTTGTGGCATTTTCTTTGAAGTTTTTGCTTTTGGGTTGACAGTGTACGGTTCAACTTCGTCCTAAAGTAAATATGCGTGAAGTGTAAAGTATTTGCTGCACTTAACGCGAAACTTTGAAACAATTAAAATCACACTTTGTTTAATTTGTCGCTTAATTAAATTCGTGGTTCAACTGGGCGTATGATGAACTTTGCCTTGTGTAGCGCTCTGTATGTGCCTGTGTACATGTGTTTACTTACATGTTATTTGGGTTAAAAGAAAGCCTTAAAGGAGCTTCGGTTTTAATAAATACTAAGTTATATTCTACTTACAGGAAATTCTCAGAAAAATTAGAGTTTGAAGTTAATTTGCAAAACACGCTGTTTGTTTGCTGGCTGCATGCTCTGCTTTTATGGATAAATTAGAGTTTTCTGAGAAATAATATAATTTTCAAATTATTAATTTATTCTTCAAAATCTATATTGTCCACCTCAAAGTAATATCAACGGCCCAAAACACTTGTGGCAACGTTTTTCCAATCCTCGAAATTTCCGGAATAGACTTCATGTCTTCAATTGACTCAAAACGGTTTCCTCGTAGCGTTCGTTTGAGTTTGCTGACTAGCTAGAAGTCACACCGAGCCAAATCAGGCCACCGTATTTGGTTGCCGCACGATATTGATTGGAAATTTGGCGAAAAACTCACGGGGAGTCAATGCAGTATGCGACGGTGCATTATCGTGGTGCAAAACCCAAGAGTTGTCGGTCCATAATTCCAACATGTTTTTACGCATACTTCGCGCAAACGAAGTATACGACACAAGTAGTATTCCTTGTTGACAGTTTGGCCCGTCGGATGGGATTCGGAGTGTACCACATCTCGATAATCGAAGAATACTGTCAATATAACCTTTATTTTTGACCTGCTTTCACGTAGGTTTTCGGTTTCAGCTAACCTTTGCCATAATATTCGGCCGACTGATCGCCTTTTCCGGGTCGTAAGCGTAGATTAAAGACTCGTCGGCTGTAATAACATGGTCCGTGACATCCTGGTAGTCGGAAAGCATGTTAAAATGATCTTTCAAAATGGACTTTACTGATCCTTCCGATATGCTAACGATCTCATTAAGATCTCTGACTGTTAATCGTCGATTCTCAAGCACTTATTTCTTTATTTTATTGACGTGTTGACCCTCAGTTGATGTTCGCCGTGGTTCTCTTTGAATTCTGAATGCTTCAGTATCAGAAATTTAGTTTTAAATAATATACAAAATTTAATAGAACTTCTTTGTTTTAAAATTGCGCTCATCATATAGTCTTAAATACATAATAAATTTCAATATTTCCAATATCAAATCATCAAATCATTAATATTGTCCGCACCATCAGCTCATATGAGATGAACTAATCCAAATGTTGTGTTTGTGTTTTTATGTTCGTGTAACCTCTTAATGTTAATGTGTGTTTAACTGCTGTTTGGTTACGACGCGAACAGTTTCTCTGGCAGTTTGACTAAAAATGCTGCCGAAATGTTCAGGGGAGTAACTTTATCACGAATGCAAATATTTGAGTGGCACAAAAAACATTAGTTCTCAGTAATTTTGCGACTGTGATGTTGTTGCTGTTATAAAAGCAAAAAAAAAAATTCCTGAAGTAATTTCGTAGAATTGTGCCGAGTTGACAGTCCTTGGTAAAAAAAAAAAAAATCCGGGTCCGTTCTGGATATGCCTCGCAAAAGTACTCAGACTATATACATACACATATATTTTGCTATATACTTCTATTCATTCACAATCATATACAATATACATATATGTCTGTATATGGGTATGTCTGTGCATAAATAATTCTTATTAAAATACCATAGCAAACATTGTAAATATTATGCTGCTCGAGGTATTTGCATCAATAGCAATCAGCAAAATGTAAACTTAAGCCAAAGGCATAATAGAACAAGCTCGGAATGATTTTGAAATAACATATAAAAATGTATATTTGTACAGTAGCATCATGTAATCGAAATTTTAAAATAGCCTTTAACTGAGGTAAAACTTTCTTCTTGCATTATTATGATGACTCTCATTCAATAAACAAATACAATGCATTCATTGTAGTTGCTGTAATGACAGAAAACATGTTCCGAATAATTGTGAGTAATGCTTAACTAAACTTAGCATATGGTCGCTCTCGCTAAACTGATGGTAACTTTGAAATCATAATATTTATATTCAACTGTGGGCAAGAGTTGCAACCAATTTCATACCGAAAGGACAGCTCACATGTGCGGCATATAATGCTTCAAACAAGCTTTGTATGGGTTTTTTATTACAATACCTTTGGTAAACATAGATTTCATGTTACATATGTATGTGTTATAACTATATGTAATGTTTAGTATATTTTAAGTTTAAAGTTTTTGGCAAAGCTATTTAAGTGCTGAGTCTTAAGAGACTTACGAATTTGTTCTGATTGATACATTACCTGACTTCTAAGGCACTACAACAGAAAGTAAGCCTTACTTAGCTCTATATATATTAATTTGCCGTTTTTGAATAGCTCTCTCAAATAGCGATTCAGATTTGAGCAAGGAAATCCTAATCAACATAAAAGGGGCTAAATATATTATATTTTGTTTCCTTTCTATATAAAAGCACAAATTTTCATGAGGTTGGAGGTCTGGCAAAATAAAATAAATTCCGCCTTAAAAGAAATGTGGATGAATGTATGTATATTAGAATGGGTCAAAATTAATCGAATGCGTTTTTTGCTTCTCTGAAAAACTGGTTGGTAGATACCTTAATACAAAAAAAAAAAAAAAATGCAATGTATTTTAACACAAATCTTTACTATCGCCTCCTGAGCCAAACCACTTTGCCAACTCTTACTATATTTGAAGCGTCATATCAGATGATTGGACAATTTTGACGTCAAATTGCCATTTGATGAATGTAGAGTTCTTAGCTACTTTGTCAACAGACTCAGCCTCTACTTGATGTCGCTTTTTCAAAATATTCAGGTTTTTTAGTACGACTCAAGCTTTGATGCGCTTTATATCCAAAATATTATCCAACACGTCTAGAGTAGATGCACAAAATATGTCGAGATCCTCGGCTACGTCGCTAATTACAAAACTGAGGTTTTCAAGAAGTACATATTTCTTTAACATTTACGATGTCATGATGTCATATTCATGAACAGAAGGGGAGACAAATTTTCGATGACTTCATGACATTCACTGAATGATTGAGTCACTCAAATACTTGTGCTCGTGATGAACTAAACTACACAAAACAATTCTGCAACATTTTCAGAAATTGTTGTTAATTTTTCTGCAGACACTACCTACAACGGCAGTTATTGTTCTAAAAAATGATTTGTTGTGAAGATAGCTCTTTTTATTCAATTTAAACAATTTTACTTTTCCCATGTATTTAAGATTTTTTGATTTCTTGTTTTGAATCTTTTTATCTCTAAAGCAAATTTTTCTAAAACTTATATCTTACATTCTACTATACAAGGTTCTATCCAACGTAAACAGGATTAAAAAAAAAAACAGAACAAATGCTTTTTCAGCAGAATCAATTTGTTTTATTCAAAATAGTATCTTTCTGCTTCAATACAGCTTTTTGCACGGTCCAAAAGCATGTCGAACAGGTGTTTTAGCTCGTTGGCAGGTGTGGCCACCAGTTTATGAATGGCATCTACGTCTGCATAACGCATATCTTTCATGAGCAAATTAATTTTTCCGAAGAAGAAAAAGTCGCAAGGTGCTATATCAGGTGAATACGGCGTGTGGTTAATGGTTAAAATGTGATTTTTTGCCATATAATCATTTTGTCGTTCGAATGTTGGATTCGGAGAAATCTTCATCAGTCAATTTGTGTGGAACAAACGGTGCACACACCTTTCGTAAGCCCAAATGTTCAGTCAAAATGCAATATATCGATGTTTTGGATATGTTCAATTCCATTTCCATGAATTCACGCACAGTTTCGATGGAATTTCCGGAGATCACGGATTTTGATTGGCTCACATATTGATCGTCATTTATATTTATGGAATATGCAATAATCGCCATAAACTTGTTTCATCACTTGAAACATTTGGGTAAAAGTTTTACCAATCTTAAAACAAAATTTAATGTTGCCTCTTTGTTCGAAGCTCATTTTCGCACCGATAACACAAACAAACTGATACTTAAAACGCAATAAATTCGCTTCCAATGAAATGTTATGAAATTATCACTGAACAATCGATAAAGATAGCAGATTCTAACGCACCAGTTGACATATAGATGGCGCTAGATTCAAAAAGTCCTGTTTAATTTGCAACACACCTTGTATATTATATATGTAAATTGTTACCTAAAATGCAAAATGTCGTATGATAAGTGTACAGTCGAAGAAAATACGATACATTAGAAGCCACTCATATTGAATCCAAATTTGAGTTTTGGTTATAGAATGGTTATATATCGGTTATGTATTGGTTATATATTGGTTATATATGGTTACATATTGGTTATATCTGACAGTGGAAGCTGAAACTTTTATGCTACACATCTGTAATATAATGTAGTGAATCGTAAGGAATAAAAACGCTGTTTTGCATTTTAGGTGATATATATATATATGTGTATACATATGACAGAATAGGAGTTAGATGTGATGTAGTGGATTTATTTTAAAATAACATACAAAATCGTACTATTCTGTCAAAAATATTTACTCATTAAAAGCTTATAAATGTCTCTTCAAAAGAGCGCCAAAAGCTGCTTCCTTTCTTGAATAGCCATTTAATGCTTTAAATACGTTGATTTGCCGAATCATAACCAATGCCAGACACGATTTGCATATTCATTACGACGATAATAGTATTTGGAGCGATTTTATGGCCTGACAGTGCCAGTAAAGTGCCACCATCGTTACACACACGCTGATGCCACCAATCATTCAATCAACTACTCAACGGCTCGTAGAGGCATTTGAGAGCGTGCTTGCATTTAAATGAAGAATTAAAATCACATTTCGATGCCGAGCAGCAAATCAAATATTTGCACTTTACAATTCGATTATTTGCAGTAAGATATCAGTTACGTGTGAGCAGCTAAGCGTATAAGTACAGTTACAAATATATGCACAATTTCAAATATATGTATATATAAGAGCATATGTGTTTGTAAGACATAAAGGATTTTCAGTGAAAAAAGTGCGTGAGTGCGCTCCTTCTTCCTCGCCTATACCAACAGTGCTACTTAAGAGTGTAAAAAAAAATAAATAAATAAATACAACAATAGGCAAATCGCATTAAAAGTGAGTGAAAAAGTGTAACAGTAAAAGGCAAAAATAACGCAAAAATCTCGTGATCAGCGAAAAACCCGTTAAGCCACACGCATTTCATCTAGCAACGAAAGTGTCTCGTAAAGTAAGCAAAATACAGCGAAAAGGCAGTGCAATACATACCGACACAGCAGTAATAAAGCGACTAAACGGTAAATAATAATGTCACCATTTACAAGCGATTTGAGCGACAGCAACAACATGATGAGCTATGCGGACAGCATGCCACTGATGGCACGCGGCAATGTCAGCGACAATGCCAACCGCAACAATAGCAACATGAACAACAACAACAGCAATAGCAACAATGAAGGCGACAACAGCAGCGGATGTGACAATATGTCGTTGCTGAGCCGTTGCCGTCGCAACATCAGCATGGGTGCTAGCAATTTGATGAGCTACCAGAATATGCTCGTTATGCTAACGGTATTGGTGTGCGGCCTTGCCACTGTTAACGGGCTCAAGTGCCACATGTGCGGCCAGTATAACGAGGGCGTCGGCTCGATTACGCCCTGTCTCAACTATTCGGATCAATATGCACATCTCTACTTGAAGGAATGTTCGAAGAAAAGCGAGAAATACTGTGTGGTAAGTGAAACACCAATACAACCATATAAATATTTACATATGCACAAGCTATTTACACTGTGCGCTTATATTGTGTGCAGTGTGTTTTTTGCGACCTTGTCGCACCCACCCGTTGCGTTCGCTCCATGGCAGCGCTAGACAAGGGTAGACAAGTCCCTCAATGCCTCATATGCTCGTTGTTAATGCATATATATTTACATATGTTTATATGCATTGCAATTGTTATTGTTATGTCGGCTGTAGTTTTTATGTGTGTTTCCACTTTTATGTGTGCAATTTACGAGGCTTTCTAGCTATCTTGTGTACCAATGTGTGTGTGCTATTTCTTTGTATATACTTTCGGCGTGTCTGTGTAGTGGTGCGTTGCTATATTTGGTCGCACATAAACCTATTGGGTTGTGGCTATGTACCATGAGATTATAAGATTAAGATCAGCAATGAGTAGTAATCACATTTGTCGCTGTAAAATATGATAATATTTTTTGGTTTGATCCTTTAATGGCGGATTTAAATGCAGTTGCTTAATATCCACTGATTTTCTTCGATTTTTGGTCTATAATGTGTCTGATTGCGTGCTAGAAAGTTTTGAGCAGATTTTTTGGAGACTTTTTATACTGCAAGGGATGAAACTTTCGACTAATGGCGAGTTGCAAAGGAATACTTGCCAATTTAGGAAAGACAAAAAAAATTAGTATATTTTTTATTAAACTCAGCGAAATTGCTTAAAATAAACAAAATAAAAAACTCTAAGATGAATTAAAAACAAGAAGAAATTCCAATGTATTTCTTCAACATTAAATATTATAAAAAGTTATTTAACTTTATATGCCTCTTTTAAGCTTTTCGACTGGTAACTGGCAAATGACACTCGTACGGTTTTGCTCCAAGCCCTGAATCGAAGTGGGATTTTCCGCATATACTTGAAATTTTACATATAACTGCAGAAAAAAGTCTAACGGCGTGATATCACACGATCTTGGTGATCAATCAGCCGGCCCAAAACGTGAAATTATATGCTCACCGAAGTGCTCTCTCAACAAATCTATTGATTGATACGATGTGTGGGAAGTAGCGACGTCTTGTGGAAACCAAAAGTCGCCAAGATCACAAGCTACATTTTAAAGAATCAAATAGTCGTTTATCATAACGCGATAACAGTCCCCATTGACGGTTACGTTCTCACAGGCATCATTTATGAAGAAATAGAACCAATGATACAACCGGTTCACACAGCTCACCAAATCGTTGTTTTTTCTAGATGAAATGGCGACTCTTGAATCTCTTCAGGTTGCTTTTCGTCCCAAATGCGGTAATTTTCTCTGTTTGCATACCCATAGAGCTAGAAATGGGCCTCATCGCTGAACGAAATTTGGCTCGAAAACGTCAAATCTTCTAGGCACTTTTCAAGAGCACATAAATAGAAGCACTGCCTCATCTTCAGTTCTTGAACAAACAGAATTTTGTATGCTTTCAATAAAAGCGACGTAAAATGCCCTAAGCCCTTCCATAAATCAGACCGAGTTGTGTTCACTCTCAGCTACGGCTACTATATTTTCTTCACTGCTTGCTGGACGTGATCTACTTGTATTCGGTCCGAAACTGGATAGGCCGATTATGCACATACCAGCCGAGGTTCATAAGAAGCGTATGAAAAATTGGCATACTTGTATTGGCTCAGGCCAATATTTTCAGAGGTTACGTGGGTTTCCTCGGGTAAAAAACAGCTTGTCTTCAAAAACTTTTTTCTTGAGAATTTATTGTTGTTACTTACATATATTATTAACAAAGAAATTTTGAAGTTTTTGGAAAAAAGTATTTTAAACTCGGCCATTGCGATGCCATTTTCGGTGACTCCTCGGAAAAAAATGTGCCCGTATTGGTAGGATAGCTTCCTTACTTAAAAAGGCTACGGATAATGGCTTGTATGAGTTTCCATTTTAACCTCATAAGTTGAGCTATAAATATTTCTTCAATTGCCAGTCATTGACGATATCTTATTGGTATGTGTTACACGCATATTTATAACCTTTTTGGCAATAATTTTCATGTGCTTACTTCCCAGAGGAATTGTTGGTCATTTCGTGTTCAAAGGTTCACATGTTGTTTACTTTATTTATATGTATTTAGTTGTATATAACAACTTTTATATTTATATGTATATTGCTGGGCTTGCTCGCAGAAGCTTACTAACTCTGAAATGCCTGGCTGCGGTAGCTGAGACTCTTTGCACGAGGGCGGCATGTCGCAAGACTGTGTGTCCGAAACAAAATGTTAGGCATGGAAAATATCATCATTTTTTATTTAGCATAAGCCCTAGTCTCTTGAAAGGTCTTCGGAAAATAATTAGTGAATATATCTGATAGCTTTCCATGAATTTATTACAGTAATAGTGGCTTCCCTTATTGGGAAATACTTTGATAAAATACTGACATTTAGCTTGCTTTTGGACATAAGCTATAATCTTATTATTGGCATCATATATGAAACCAATTTAGTAAAATGTATGTATATATATGCATGTAGAAGCATAATATATAATACTTTTATAAAATGCAAAATGGCGTAACATCACTTTTCATAAGCTTGAAGGCGAGTGGAAAACGTTATAAAATAAACCACTCATATTCAAACAAAATTTGAGTTTTGGTTATAAAATAGTTGTAATATATTGGTTTGTCAAGAAAGTCTTGCGGTATTTTTATTGAGTTTTTATTGAATTTTCAATTGTTCATAAAAAAAATAAAACTCATGCCCAGCTCTTGACCGATGCTACGGCTGCTACTATGCCGGTCTCTTTCGACCAATTTTATCGCAATTTTCAACGACAGGCCTTCCGGAGCGTGGCGCATCTTCGACCACCTCTACACCAGAACGAAGACGTTGAAACCATCGTTTTGCGGTGGAATTGGAAAGTGTATCGGGTCCATAAACTGCACAAATTTTATTGGCGGCTTGAGATGCATTTTTGCCTTTATCGTACTGTAAAATATGCCGTATTTTCTCTTTATTTTGCTCCATGTTTGCGACGCTATAACTCACGAACGACTTAAAAGAAACGACAATCAATCAAACACGTATTAGCGCGTGAAGTGGGCTTTCCAAAAAGATATAGTGTGACCCGATGTGACGAATAAAACTAAAACTACGCCCTCTCAGCGCCAACTAGTGAAGATTCCGCAAGACTTTTTGACAAACTAATATATTGGTTATATAATACGGATATATTGGTTATATCTGACAGTGGAAGCTGAAAATTTTATGCTGCATATAAACTTCAGTTTTTATTATAAAATGGTTATATATTGGTTATGTATTGGTTATCTATTGGTTATGTATAGGTTATATCTTACAGCGGAAGCTGAAAATTTTATGCTACATATATGTTACATGACGTAATGAATCGTAAGCAATAAAAAACTCAATTTTGATTATTTTGATGCGTTGTTTTGAATTTTAGATGACGATATGTAAGTAGATATTTTATAAATATGAAGCTGATTTTCTTTCCACAGTTCGTTTTTTTCTATTTCGAAACCTGTTTGCCTTTCCATCAACCAAAATATATAAACTATCCCTAATAATTCCGAGAAATTCACAGCTGACAGGAAATTGTTATTGTTGATTTGTGTCGACCTCAGCTCGTAAACATGTAATTTGGCGAGTGCGCCTATGTATATGTGTGTCTGTACGAAATTCGATTACAAATTGCGTTTCGTTAGTTTCGGTATTTTGCTGAAAATTTATTTGTCATGCCTTATTGCACTGACAATCGTCTACTCTGTGCCCTTACACTCACACATTCTCAAACATATACACACAAATGCGCAAGCATGCATTGTTTTTCTTCCCATAGTTGAATGAGAATACGTGCGGAATATTCCGATAAATATTAATGTGATTTGTGACCAGAACTGTACGAAAGCAATTAAATGAAAATTACGGTATTGTATTGTGGCATATTTTTCGAAGTTGCCAATGCCGCAAAATGCTCTGTGGAATTTAAATGGTTCCAGTTTGCAATGAAAAATTGAATGTGGTTTTCTATATAAAATTTGAGTGGTTAAGAAGAGATGTGAAAGTGAAGGAGGTTGGAGGAGGAATAGGTTGCTTAAATTGATAAATTATAATTAATTGTTTTTTTTTTGTTTTTGCGACCAGAATAGAGTGAAGCTTCTTAGTATTTTCGCTTAAAATAGTTTTGCAGACTTCTGTCAAGTTGAAGGTAATTGGCCGGAGATAAGTTTCGGGGTTGCTTCGGTTACTTAGACCCAATACTTATGGTTGTTATTAGTATTATATCTTATCTAGTGCGTATAGCAATTATTATTGGAGGGTGTGGATTGGAATTTTGTTTTTTAAATAGATAATATTCTTTTCTCCTTACAAAATCTGATCAATGAAATTTTGAAGGAGAGATGTATTTATGCAAAGCGCTAAGTCCTCAAAATTTCGTTTAAAACTCAAAATATTTTTTGTTGCAGAAATCAAAACCGGGAAGACCAATTGTGCTTTGCCTGTGAAGAATGCAAATTTTATAAAATGTATCACTTGTTTTCCAGCATAGTCCATTAGCTTGACACACTTGACCTAGTGATGAACCGATTTTTGAAATTGTTGAAGGTGACCGTTTAAGTTTGAAAATAAAAAGAAGGCACACCAAGCTAAGTCTGGAGAATATGGTGCATAAATTAGCAGTTCATAGCCTAGGAGTTGTGAGTTGATGGGGAAGAGTACTTTGGTGAAATAGGTTAAAATTTTTAACAACTCAGAGACAAATCTGCAAGCAAATGCGACATCTGTCGTGTTGACATTTTTCAGTTGTCCATTATTTCACGCAAGACTTTAACCAAGGACCTTATGGGGAGTACGATATTTCTATCAGATAAATTAACTTTCCAGTGCTCTTTCATTTCACAATTCTTCTTTAAAAAACAGGAATCGAATCATAGACCGCTACCGATTCTTTCCAATTTTCTAATACCATTCCATTTTTATTAGAC